ATCTCTCTTTTTTATATACAGGTAAACTGCATTAGCACTGAGTTCACACCTAGAAAACATGGTGGAGAGAAGGGCGTCCCTTTTCGCATTCAGATAGACACCTTTGCAGCCAGCGAGCATGGAGAATACACTGAACACATGCGCTCCGCCAGCTGCCAGGTCAAAGTGTTCAAGGTAGAGCATCTTTACTCTACAAAGATAACAGATACACAGTGTGCTTGCTTTGTGGAGATGTTAGACTGTGAAATAACCTCAAAGATGACGTTATTATTTACCTGTTACGTAAAGGGGTGGTTGAATATGATTTCACTTTTCTAACTTTAGTTAGTGTGTAATGTTCCTGTTTGAGCATAAACAACATCTGCAAAGTTACAACGCTCAAAGTTCAAAGTTCAAAGCAAAGGAAGATATTTTCTTTTAAATAAATTGCTTTTTAAGGACAACAAACGGCTGGTAGGGACCACACAACATTCCTCTGTGTGTTAGTGACATCACTAACCCTCAAATTTACATAAATCCCACCCCCGGGAACGCGGTTTATAGATTATCAAGACAGAATATGCTAATGAATGACTAGAAGATAACTACACATAAGCTACATAAATTCACCAACTAACCATTCAGAAATGTTCTCTACATGTTGTCACTTCTTAAAGGAGTAGTTGACTGTAAAAAAAAATTTTGCTGATAATTTACTCACCCCCATGTCATCCAAGATGTCCATGTCATTCTTTCTTCAGTCGGAAAGAAATTAAGGTTTTTGATGAAAACATTCCATTATTTTTCTCCATATAATGGACTTCAATGGGAACCAAACGGTTCAAGGTCCAAAAGACACTTTCAGTACAAACTGCAAACTGTTCAAAGGGCTTTAAACGATTCCAGACGATGAATAAGGGTCTTATCAAGCGAAACGATCGCTTATTTAAAAATAAAATAACAAAGTTTAAGTTTTATAAGCTCAAATGCTCACCTTGCTCTGTTCTGTGACTCACACGTTCGTGACTCTCCTGATCGAACTAGTTTATCAAAATGAACAAATGTTTTCCTGAGTCAACTCGTTCATTTCGTTCGTTGAATGAACCAAATGACACAAAAAAAGATTCGTTCATTTTGATAAACGAATTCGAACAGGAGAGTCACGAACGTGTGCGTCACAGAACAGTTTGAACAGTTTGAAGTTTGCACTGAAACTGTCTTTTGAACCTTGAACCGTTTGGTTACCAGTAAACTGCATTATATGGAGAAAAATCCTGGAATGTTTTCATCAAAAACCTTCATTTCTTTTCGACTGAAGAAAGAAAGACATGGACATCTTGGATGACATGGGGGTGAGTAAATTATCAGCAAATGTTTGTTTTTTAAAGTGAACTACTCCTTTAAGTCTCCATCTTGAACATAAAAGGCTAAAAGTGTTTGGAATTTTCAGTGCATGTCTGTGTGAGGTAAAACGACACAAGCTTTTGAAGCTCCGCCCCCTGCCGGGAGCAGCAGCTCATTTGTCAACTCACACAGACACAAAAACGGTGCGTTTTTGCTCACCCTCAAAAATGGACAACTTATGCTATATAAAAATTAGGGCTGTGCAAAAGTTAATTGCGATTAATCGCATCCAAAATAAAAGTCTGTTTTACATAATATATTTGAGTGTGCTGTATATAATTATTTTGTATATATAAATACCTATGCATGCATGTATATATTTAAGAATTATTTGCGCTTAAATTCTGTATATATATATAAATACATAATCTATATTATACAAATCTAAATATTTTATATAGGAATAACACATTTTCTTAAACATATACATGCATGTGTGTGTATTTATATATACAAAATAATTATATACAGCACACACAAATATACTATGTAAACAGAGACTTTTATTTTGGATGCGATTAATCGCAATTAACTTTTGCACAGCCCTAATAAAAATATATGTGGGGTATTTTGAGCTAAAACTTCACATACACACTGTAGTAGGGACATCAAAGACTTATTTTACATCTTGTGAAAAGGGCATTATACCACCCCCTTAAAGGGATACTTTGCCCAAAAATGAAAAGTCTGTTGTCGTTTACTCACCCTCATGTCTGTTCAAACCAGCATGCATTTTATGTCTGTTGAACACAAAAGAAGATATTTTGAAGTATGTTAAGAATCAAACAACATTGGTCTCATTGAAAAAAACACTGATAATAGGTTTCACAGAGGAAAAAAGGTTGTACAGTTTCGGATCGAGAGAATGTAATGTGAATGCGAGTAAATTGCATTTTGGGGTGAACTATCCCTTTAATTCATATTTTTCTTTTCAAGCCGAAAGGCGCAGATCGCAAACTCAAGACTGACAGAGATAAGATGGAGAAAAAGAGTCCTCAGGATAGAGAAAAATATCAACCATCCTATAAAACAACAGTGCTGACTGAGGTAAGCTACCCAAAAACCAAACTCGCTACCAAAAATGTCCACTTTTCATGCAAAGAAAATGGATCTATATTTATACTGCTCCTAAAAGAACAAAAAGAAAAAAAACACCATGAGGAAGACTGTCCGAAAAGGCTTTTAAGCTTTGTTTTTTTTACTAAGGCTGCATCTGAACTTCCCTACTATGTAGTATGTGTTTTCGTCATTAAAAAAAAGTCATATTAATGATTGTTCTCTTTCAAGACGGCAGTCGAATTTTCCATTACCTCCTGCTTGTTAGACCAAAGCAATACATATTAAGAATAAGGTCAAGAGGTGGGGCTCAAACAGCCGCCTGACTTTTTCCTTTTCTTTCAGTGCTCCCCTTGGCCTGAAGCTCCATCCGTCAGCAGCAACACTTCATCTCCAGGTTATCTCAGTGCTCACACTTCCTACAGCTTCCCAGAGGAGTGAGTCCTTATTCAGTATGAAATCACAGCATGATTTTCAGGAACATAAACATAACTGGCCACTGCTCTCCTGTCTTGTTGCATTTATAGAAACTCCTCTCCAGACCTGCAGGGGGAGCTACTTTTGCCCAGCTGCTCTGATGTAAGTATGGGCATAGATATCCATATAAAGGATAGATATCTCAGTGTCAGAACCAGAACAAAAGTGGATGTTTCTTACTTGTTCAGATGAAATTTTCCGGTGAAAATTATTTTGTTGGTCATTCTTCCAAAAAAGTGCTGTGCCGTGTCGAGGTACAACTCACGTAAAGTTGCTGCTAATTCCGCGAATGACTGCAATTGCAGATTTCGATCAGAGATGGCGGAAAAACTGTGGGCTGCAGCTTTAATGCCGTGCTTTCTTATCTTTATAAGTTTGTGTTTGAGGACGTGGATGATGCTGTTCTTCTTCTTTTTGCCATTAGCACCTGTTGCCATCGTCCTCCATGCAGGACACTCAGCAGTGGCTCCATCGTAATAGATTCTCCTGTTTCTGCCGGCTCTTCTCTGGCTTCTCAGGTCAGCTAAAATAATTTTTAGTGAACTGCATGCTGCTTTCTGCTTTTTAATTTTTTAGATTGAATTGAATAGTTTAACATTAACATGCTGTATTCTCTACAATGTAAAAATACATTGAACACACAAATTTGTGCGTAAACAGTTGATTGTGAATTGATTGTATTGAATGAATCATATAAGGTTTGGAGTCAAAAAGATATAAATATTGTGTGTGTAAATACATATATATATGTATTTACATATACATACATATACATTTACATATATATATATATATATATATATATGAAGACTTCAGATGCAAAAGCCTCTAAGTCCGTCTAATGTTTTAATCGCATCCAAAATAAAAGTTTGTGTTTGCATAATATATGTGGGTGTACTGTGCATAATTATTTTGTGTATGTGTATATATATATATAAATACACACACATGTTATATATTTATTATATTTGATATTATTTATATAATAAAATTAAATAAATAAATAAAATATTTATATTTATATATAATATTAATTATATATAAATCTATATACAGTATATACATGAAAATATTTCTTAAATATATACAAGCATGTGTGTGTATTTATATATAAAATAATTATACACAGTGCACACACATATACTGTATTATGTAAACACAAAATTTTATTTTGGATGCGATTAATCGTTTGACAGCCCTAGTATTAACATTAATATTTTTTTCTACCTAAGTACCAACATTTCTGAATGGGCTGAGGCTGGGATTTAGTGAGTTTGAAGTGAAAGTATTTGATATACTTTGATATACACACGTATACTATGTATTCAGTATTATATTATTATTTTTATTATCTAATTTTTGCATCAGAGGTCTTCATATTTACTATATATATATATATATATATATATAAATCTTGAGACCAAATCAGCATATTAAATGATTTCAGAAGGTGACATTGAAGACTGGAGTAATGATGCTCAAAAACCATCACAGTAATAAACTATATTTGAATATTTTATTAAAACAGAAAACAATTTAAATTATAATAATATTTCACAATATTAAGTAATAAATACAGCCTTAGCACAAGAGACGTCTTTCAAAACTTACCAACCTAAAACTTATATGAATAGTACTGTATTTGAAACAGTCATTGTGTTGACTATGTTTTAACTAAAAATGTCACGATTTTAAATATTAGACTACTATATGACCAGCTTTGTTAATGTTTCAGGTTCCGATCTGCTAAAAATGAGTAGAGAAGACTTCATTCAGATTTGTGGTCCTGCTGATGGCATCCGTCTGTTTAATGCAATCAAAGGAAGGTGAGACGTCTCCCTAATCAAACCCTTCCGATTCATCCTGAAATGTGTCCTGTCCAAACATGAACTCAACACTTCCTGTGGCCATGTTCCTCAGGTGTATACAACCACGTCTCACTGTCTATATATCCCAGCTGCAGAACAGGAACCAACCCCACACCAAAGCAGCGGGTGATGATGGTAGGAGACGTCACATGGTGGTGTCCGTTATGATGTGTATGACATGCAGTAACATTTATCCTTAATACTCTTAATTGTTTTTGTCTGTAGTGTACCATGCCCTCTACCTAGAGGACCTAACTGTCTTTGAGCTCACTGAGAAGATAGCCAATCTATATAATGTTCCCTCGCAGCAAATCCATCGTATATACAGACAGGGGCCGACGGGGATCCATGTCTTAGTTTCAGATGAGGTAAGAGGGCAGAGAGTGCTTTAAAATGAGAGAGATTACAGAACTCTTGGACAAATAGTCGCACATTTACTCTACCATTGTAAGAGTTTTGTTAAAGTTTTTAAAAGAAGTATATTAAGCTTATCAAGGCTGCATTTGTTTGAAAAAGTTTGTTGAAATACATAAATAATGTAAATGACACATTCAAAGCGTCCTTGCTGAATAAAACTCAATTTCTTTCAAATAAAAAATCTTATTGACCTCAAAGGTAGTGTACATTTGTGTATCAGGAGATATTGGCCACATAACTTTTTTTTTTTTTTTTTAGGATTAGTTTACCAATAAATGAAATGTTTCATCATCTTTTACACTAATTTCAAACCTACATGACTTTGGTTCTTCATAAAACACAAAAGGAGATGTTTAGCAGAATGTTGACACTGCTCTTTTCCATACAGTGAAAGTGAATCTTGACCAGGGGCTGTGAAACTCCAAAAATAGACGAAAACACTATAGACTTAGTCTGTAGCAACACTCTTTTCCTCAAAATCATTACCAAAATAAGTTACTGATTGTTATAGTAGATTAGAGTGTCAGAAAATACAGTATTCCAGGTATACGCTGTTAAAAAGAATCACAAAGGTGTGTTTTAATGCATTCAGGTCACTTGACGTCTATTTGGCTTTTTCAGATGGTGCAGAACTTTACAGAGGAGACTAGCTTCATTATCAGCACTATGAAAGGTAACTTTATGGACATGGTATTTTTATCTTAACTATATTAATTTAGCCTCATGTTTATCAAGCTGGAGTTATGGGGTGAAAATTGCCATTGCACAAAAGACCTGTTCAGAAGATAAATATATTTGCTGACTTTAAATTAAATGCAATAGGGCTGTGAAACGATTAATCGCGATTAATCACATACAAAAAAAAAAGGTTTGTGTATACATAATATATGTGTGTGTGTGTGTGTGTGTGTGTGTACTGTGTATAATTATTTTGCATATATAAATACACACACATACATGTATATATTTAAGAAATATTTGCATGTATATAATTTATATATATTTATACAAAATTAATATTATACATAAATATAAATATTTGATGTATTAATAACACATTTTTCTTAAATATACACATGCATATGTGTTTATATATATATATATATATGAAGAGTTCAGATGCAAAAGCCTCTAAATGCCATTTGAAATTTTCTTCTTTAATGATGATTTTTATCAAACTTGTATATTTAAGTTCAGTAATTTCACTTAAATAACAATTAATAGGTAAACTAATTACCATTGCCATTTAAGTGAAATCACTGAACTTAAATATACAAGCTTGATAAAAATGATCATTCTAGAAGGAAATTTCAAATGGCACTTAGAGGCTTTTGCATCTGAACTCTTCATATATATATATATATATATATATATACAAAATAATTATACACACTACACACACATATATTATATAAACACAAACTTTTATTTTGAAAAAGATTACTCACGATTATGTAATCACGAATAATACATAATCACATGTAGCTTTTGGTTGCGTCACACTTCTGACTTTCACGGCTTACTGAGCAGGCAACTGTTAAAAAGTATTCAGACTTCTAGGAATGACTTTGAAAAACAAAATACTTTTAAAAAAAAAAACATCTCTAAAATAGTGTCTGACTCTCTATTGCATTCACACTTCATAATCATATGTGGTTAACATTGGCTGTGTTTTTTTCCTGTGTGACGGCAGATGAAAGTAATGATGGCTACCATGTTGTACTGAAGTGACCTGAGTATGAGTACTGGAGCATTGCAGGTGCCTTTAGCTTATTTTCACAATATTGGACTGTTTCATATCACATAGTGGAATGTGAAATTAATAAATATGGATGATTTGATTTTTTTATGATGTAGATCCAGCTCCGTATTTTAAAGAGAGAATGTTGTGAAGGGTTTTGCTGTAAATCAAATCAAATATGAATTATTTTATGTATTAAGTCAAGTCATGTTCAGTTTGTTGATTTGTTTTATAGTAATTATTTTTATCATGTTACAGTAGTATTTTGGCAGTATTCTCTATTTTCTTTAGTTTTATTATTAGATACCTAATTGCATAGACTTGATTTGCTGTGCAAGATGGCCTTACCCCCCAAAAAAACACGCACACACACACACACACAATTTTATATATTTATTTCTATATTTAGAAACTTCCAAAACATGTCCATTTGAATGTTTCTCATTTGATGAAGTTTGCATCATTGATTCTGTCATTTTCCTTTTTATTACTGTGAAGCAGAAACAATCTGTATTGTATAACTCGTAAACTCTTTTCTATGACTTGGCCATTTACAATATTATAGAGAGATATTAGTGTTTATATTAATGTTGGAATTTAAAAGACCTCTCAGTCGTTACATTGGTGCTTTTGTTCAGACTGAGACTGAGATAAAGTCTTTGCTCAGGATGTTTTATTGCTTTGCTTTTTTATCACAATGCTTTTGAGGTTTGTATGTTTGTAACTGATTAATGATTGTGTATTTCTCAAAGCTTTGTATGAACTGTACGATAGCACCTGTTTGTTGAACTTATCTTGATGGACCTTGCTGCTTGATAATCTTAAAAAAAATATTTTGCAGGAAAAAATAAATAACTTTTGTATGGTAAATGACCTTGTCATAAGTGTTGCGAAGAAACATGTTTTATTTGTTACCCTAGTTTTCAGTAACACGGACACTGTGTGGTCACACCTGCCACATAAAGTACAAAAGTAAGCTTTAAAGTTTATACTATGTGTGTATAGCTGTTTAACAAATCAGCTATCCTTTTTGTTTGATTGACCGTACAAATCATTTCCTTGGGTTGTAATGTGTATCAGTAGGTTGTCTAGGTTCAGCTTGTGAAATGCGTTGGTTATGAAACTGTTTATTGACAAAAGCCTTTGGTTTCTACTCAGATTCTCCTCCAATTCCTCTGTAGTCATGAGGTCAGTGTAGTTAAGTGAACTTGTAAGGGTGATTGTGTGTGTTAGTCACGACGTGGAGAGCAGCACACTTCAGTGAGCAGCACTGAATCCACAATGCAATTCCCAAACCCTGCAGCAGCCGGACAAAAAAAAAAAAAAAAACCTGCTTAGCAACACGTGCAAAAGAACACGAAATGCAGTTATTTATATATATTTTTCAATATAATTTTTTAAATTGTATTGAGCACTGCTGTTGTTTAGAAAGTAAACTCTTTCACACTCTGTTATTTAACTTGTCTAACAGTGTGCAGTGGTGAACATTCAAGCACAACATAATTCTATAATTTAACATTTCCATTTTCGAAATGTGTTGGTCGTGATGGAAATGTTGCCACAACAATCGTGATTTACTTTTACATTTTTCACATTTCACATGTGTGAATATCGATAAATCGATCATCCTGTTAACAATTGGACAGTGTCCAATTGTCAATGCTTCATTATGTGTACAGTACCAAATAAATTAATAATATTAGTATAACGTTTTACTACAGAAGAAACATAAGATACCAAACAAAGAATACAATTCCAAGAACTCTGATTAGCAGCAAACTGAATAAATAAACAACATGAACATAAATAAACTTTAAAAAAAGAAATTACAAACACAAATCAAATATTATACAAGGTTGAGTAAAAAATATTACACATATTATCATCAAACAAATACCTTACGCATGTTTTTTGTTATGCATGAGTCTTTTTTATTTATTTATTTATTTCACCTTTATTTAAACAGGGTAATCGGTTGAGAACAAGTTCTCATTTGCAACCGCGACCTGGCCAAGACAAGGCTAAAAGTGCAAGGCAACATAAAATTACAGATTGTGTACAACATTCAAGTGTATAATCACACATACAAATTTTGAAGATTAAAGATTTGAAGAAAATCATTTAAATCTTTACGAAAAGCAAGATTGTGTGAAGGTTCTTAAAGCATTTGCATTTATGTATAATGTAATTAGCCAACAATCTGACACTATATGGCTGTCTGGGATATTGTTAGCCAAAAAATCACCATTATATTTTAGACAAAAAAAAATATATATATATATATATATATATATATATATATATATTTTTATATATATATATTTTATATATATATAGTTTTAAAGTCAGTAAACTTAAACAAACATAAAGGTCAACCCAGAAATTGTATTTGTTCCAATGACTCTATAGGCATACCCTATCTGCTTCACAAAAGGTGCACTCAATACAAACCAAATTAAATCTGTGTCTGAGGATAAGGAGGATAAATATCATGAGTCATTTAAAACCGAACCTCTTTTAGCTTTGGTAGAATGGGGAAATTTACACATCTAATTTGAGCTACTTTATATTTAGGAAAATCAAAAACAAGAGGCTCTTTCTAACTTTAGAAGGGAAAGTCTCTGTATTTATAAATGTTCTCTCTCCTCTGTAAAATTAAGACCGGAGATCTTGGAATCACAGGTATAACAGTGCACCTTTAATCAGCTGAACTAAACCATCAGGAATAGCTTTTAACAAAGACACATAATTTCCGAATATAAATAATATAGTGAATAAGGATATTGGGGAAGATTTCGAACACAGCAGTGGGGTCTTGAACATTTTTAGTCAGGCATTGTATGAGTCAGTCAGCTAAGCGTAGGACCCCACGCAGCACGCACACACGTGTTTGTGTACAGCCATGGCGGACATGCAGATGAAGATTCTGCGCAAGAAAATACAGAAGAGAAATGAAAAAAATAAACAACGGAAACTTCTCAGATCTCAGAAGGAAGAAGAAGAAATCGGCGAAGGTGATTTTCCCCCCACTTTTGTTGTAAAGATAACGTGACGTATACTTCATGTAAGCGTTTTCTCGGATCCACCATGTGATAATCACACCGCATTAAATGCATTCGTAAAGTTTTCGTATAGTTCAGTCAGTTGTGTTTACCTCAGCACGACATATACGTTTAAATAAACCGTAATTATAATGTTGATAAGGGACATTTTAACGTCTTTACTCTTCATATTGAGTGTATGCTCTTTCCTTTAAGATGGAGTTGATGAAATATGCTGTATGTGTTTCTTATCTGGCAGAGGTGAAAGCTGATGTGACCAGAGATTCTGCTCCAAACATCACTGAAGAGCAGAAGGAGCAAAGCATCTCCACCGAGGGCGGCGAAACCTCACAGAAAACCAAGAAGAAAAAGAAAAGAAAATTGAATGGCACAGGCGACTCAACATCCAGTGAGTGTTTAATGTTGCTGTGAATGTATCGTCATAATTATCCAAATTAATGCAAGTATTTGACATGTATACACATACACTCTTATAGGTGTGAAAAAGGTCAAAAGGCAGGATGAAGTTAAAGAGACAACGGAAGCATCAGCGGGAGAAGAGGAGCAAGAGAGTGATGAGAAACAGGAGGAATGTGCAGAGTCTGTGAAGCTTTCAGAGAATGGAAATGAAAATGAAGGATCAGCTGAGGACGATGATAGTGATGAAGATGGACCACAGCTTCCCTCTGGTCTGACAGGTAATCAATGCACGACCGGCTTTGATAAATACAGTGTGCAGTGACATCATATATGGTGAGCGTGGTTTAGTTAGTGTAGTTATCCACTCATTTAAATGCAAAAAAAAAGGAGATGTCAGATCGATTTTGGCTAGTTTTAGGAAAAACTTTAAAGAAAGATTTGTTTGACCAGTTAATTAAATTACTGCACGTAAATGTAATTTAGTTACAAAATAAGAGATTGATGTAATAGCTAGTAAAAAAAAACTAGCATGGCTATGTAAACTTGAATTCACAGAAGCTACTTTTGTCCAGATATCTGGTGAAAAAAAAAACAGTTCTAGTTTTTTGTTTTAATTGAAATGAAAAAAATACCATTTGAAATGTCTTTTAGTAAATATACTAGAGCTGTCAAGCGACATAATATATGTGGGTGCACTGTGTATAATTATTTTGTATACATGTGTAAATACACACACATGCATGTATATTTTAGAAAAAAATATTATTTATATATAAAATATTTATGTTTATATACAATATAAATGATATATAAATCTATATACAGGAAATATTTCTTAAATACAAGCATGTGTGTGTATTTATATATATAAAATAATTATACACAGTGCACCCACATATATTATGTAAACACAAACTTTTATTTTGAATGTGATTAATCATTTGACAGCCCTAAAATATACCAATTTATTTGACCTTTGACAAGTGAATTAAAATTGATATATCTGTAACTGAGTGGTGAAATAAGAGATGCGTGTTTCATTACTAGTAAGGTGAGTCAATCTTTAATCAACAGAAGCTTTTATTCCATTTTTTTGTGTGAATTAAATAAGAAAAGACTACATATTTGTAATTTAGAAACAAAATTATAGATGCCTGGTTTATTAGAAGTGAATAAAATATTTAATCTTCCTTCTTTTTTCTTTATTTGGAATGCAAAATAACCTTTCCAAATGTTTTTCTTTCTAAAAATAAATCAGTGCGTCAGGCATTTATTTTCATTTTTTCCATTTACATGAATACTGAATAGGTAACGATGGTAACTAGGATTTGTTTTCCTCTCTGTGACTTTCTCAGGTGCGTTTGAGGACAAGTCATTTGCATCTTTGGCAGAAGTGGTCAGTGAGAATTCATTGAAGGGAGTGAAAGAAATGGGCTTTGAAACCATGACAGAGATCCAGCACAAGACCATACGCCCACTGCTGGAGGGGAGGTGAGTCTGCAGTGCATCAGAGAGAGCCGGCTTTCTGTGGTACAGTAATTATCACATTTATTTAATTGCCAACTTAATGTTTAGGATGTGTGCTCATTCTTTTCCAACAGAGACGTGTTGGCCGCAGCTAAAACTGGAAGTGGTAAAACTCTGGCTTTCCTGATTCCCTCCATTGAGCTCATCTACAAACTTAAATTCATGCCCAGAAATGGTGAGTTCACACCGAATGTATTGGCTTTCTCTGATTGTTATAGTCCTTTTCATAGTAGAGATATCATCCATATACCTGTAAGTTTGACATAACTGTGGTCTGTTTCCCAGGGACTGGAGTTATCATTCTGTCTCCCACTCGTGAGTTGGCAATGCAGACATATGGTGTGCTGAAGGAGCTGATGACGCATCACGTGCACACATACGGCCTCATCATGGGAGGTAGCAATCGTTCTGCTGAAGCCCAGAAACTTGCTAATGGAGTCAATATCCTGGTGGCTACACCTGGCAGACTTCTCGATCACCTGCAGGTACGGCCTTTTGCTGTGAACGGATTGGCCACATGGGTCTGTTACGTATACTTGACCTCCCTATTTCTCTCCACAGAACACGCCTGGATTCATGTTTAAGAACCTGCAATGTCTGATCATTGATGAGGCTGACAGGATTCTGGAGGTTGGCTTTGAGGAAGAACTTAAGCAGATCATCAAACTACTGCCTAGTAAGAACCAATGACTTAGCTTATCAACCAGACATCACTTCCTTAAAGGGATACTCCACTTTTTTTGGAAATAGGCTCATTTTACAACTCCCCCAAAGTTAAAGAGTTGAGTTTTACCGTTTTCGAATCCATTCAGCTGGTTTTTTGATATTTAGAAGAATATCAGTAACCAGACAGTTTCTGGTCTCATTGACTTCCATAGTATATTTTTTTCCTACTACGGAAGTCAATGAGACCAGAAACTGTCTGGTTACTGATATTCTTCTAAATATCAAGAAATCGGCTGAACGGATTCGAAAACGGTAAAATCCAACCGTTTAACTCTGGGGGAGTTGTAAAATTAGCCTATTTCCAAAAAAAGTGGAGTATCCCTTTAAAAATAGTTGTGGCTTGCAAAATCTTCATTTAAATATTACTATTTAAACCAGTTTCAGTACATACTTAAATACTTAATAAAACATCCAGGCTATGCAACCATTTTAATCCATGACATTCAGTTCAGAAATCATAACTTGGATGGTGTGGATTTTTTTTGCCTGACAAATATTTCTCTTTCTCTAGAAAAAAGACAGACCATGTTGTTTTCAGCAACACAGACACGGAAGGTGGAGGATCTAGCACGAATCTCCCTCAAGAAGGAGCCGCTGTATGTCGGGGTGGATGACAACAAAGACACGGCCACAGTGGAAGGACTTGAACAGGTAAACTGCTCTTTATCGGCACCCATGGGTCATCATGTGTGGTTGGTGTAAAATATGAGTTTCACATCAATTATTTGACTAAGCATGTGCTTTGTTTTATTCTTAGGGATATGTTGTGTGTCCTTCGGAGAAACGTTTCCTGCTGCTCTTCACGTTTCTGAAGAAGAATCGTAAGAAGAAGCTGATGGTGTTCTTCTCGTCCTGCATGTCTGTGAAGTACCACTATGAGCTGCTTAATTACATTGATCTGCCCGTCATGGCCATTCACGTGAGTCATTCAGCATTTATGCAGTGTGATGAATGCTTTTTTTAAAGTCTTACTTTTAGTTGCATAAAATTTAAAGGAGAACTCCGGCGCAAAATTAACCTTTGGTCTAATAAAACATTGATACCTAGTCAACTGTTCTCTGAGATTTGATTTCATGATAATCGAATGTAAAGAGTTTTATCTCTAAAAACTGTTTAGCATATAACGTTAGTATATGGGGGCATATAATAAGTAAAAAGAAATCGCTAGTTAATACCACTAACAAGGCTCAAAATAGCCCCACACTAACACAGTAACATAATGAGGCTCCATACATGCAAAACGAAGCACTGAGAACTTAAAGACAGTTTTTTCCGTGTATACAGGCAGCAGCCATCTTTGGAAAACAGTCTCGACAAGTCAAACCACGAACGGTGTTCATACAGTTCAGAAGTTCGCTTACTTTGCACGTCGTTCGTGGTTAATAACACATGTTACTGTGTTAGTGTCGGGCTATTTTGAGCCTGGTTAGTGGTATTAACTATTAAAAAGATTTCTTTTTACTTATTATATGCCCCCATTTACTAGCATATATGCTAAACATTTTTTAGAGATAAAACTCTTTACATTCGATTATCATGAAAACAAATCTCAAAGAACAGTCGACTAGGTACCAATGTGTAATTAGACCAAAGGTTCATTTTGAGCCGGAGTTCTCCTTTAAAGCCAAAAAAGTCATAATTGACATTTCAAGATTTCTTAAAGCAACACTAAAGAATAATGTTTCCAAAATCGTTTCAGTGGTTCATCCAGTTGTAACAGGGTGAAAGGCACTTCTGGATTCGCTTTGCAGTCCTTCATCTGCTATAAACACACTATATAAGTTTGCCAGAACAGGTTGTGTTTCAGTAGTTTGAATGAGACATAAGAAAACTACAAATGTGACTTGCTTTACGTCAAGCGTTACAATATTCATTATTTAGTTTCTCTGTTTCTGATGTCGCAATACATCACACTTTCATGAAATCATGCAACATACTCTAACTTGTCTGTGGACATCATTCATTGTAAACCCGGTGCTATATAAACAGCGAGTGTACGTGCGACAGTAGACTGTGGTGGGTTAAATTATTTACAGCAGCGGTAATGGACAATTCCGCTTCCAACCTGTAGGGCGACCAAAGAGGACAAGTTCTTTAGTGTTGTTTCAAATCTGGCTTACGGCAATGAATTAACTGTCAGAGCAGGTCACATTTTATATTTATCTAATTATAATTCTAATTTAATGTTTTCCCTTTTCTTAAAAAAAAAATTAAAGGCTGAAATGGGAGGTTTATCATTTAATTTTTGTCCAAATTACTATGACCCACATGGTCTTCATTTTACCTATGCAGCTATTTAAAGAAAAGGTCTTAAAAAAGTTGAACCCTAAAGAAACCTACTTTTGTTTTCATGATTTTCCAGGGGAAGCAGAAACAGACAAAGAGAACCACAACATTTTTCCAGTTCTGTAATGCAGACTCTGGCATTCTCCTCTGTACGGACGTGGCCGCCAGAGGTCTCGATATCCCGGAGGTGGACTGGATTGTTCAGTACGACCCACCTGATGATCCAAAGGTACAGCAGTCATGCCCCTTAGTCCATCAAATTTGTAGTCCAACATGGTTGGTCGTTTAAAATTTGTGTTTGTTTTTTAATTTATGATTTATTGGTTATTTTAGGAGTACATTCACCGCGTAGGCCGAACAGCTCGTGGTATTAACGGCAGAGGACACGCCCTCCTGATCCTGAGACCAGAGGAGCTCGGCTTTTTGCGATTCCTCAAACAGGCCAAAGTATTACATCTCTATTGTTAATGCTTTATATTGGCTTTCAGTGCATGTGGTCTTTGTATGGTCATGACAAGATGCCTCTCTTGTGTTCCTCCTAAAGGTCCCTCTGAGTGAGTTTGAGTTCTCCTGGACTAAAATCTCAGACATTCAATCTCAGGTGAATCTTCATACTCGGTCGAATTGATCTAAAACTCTCACGCATTTAAAATTGAATCCCTCTGAAAGCAAATAAAATCCAGTTTAAAATGTCGATTTGCATTTGTCTTTTTCAGATGGAGAAGCTGATAGAGAAGAACTACTACCTTCATAAATCAGCTCAGGAGGCCTACAAATCCTACGTCAGAGCTTACGACTCTCATTCCCTCAAACAAATCTATAACGTGGAGACACTCGACCTCCCGAAGGTGGCGATGTCCTTCGGTTTTAAAGTGCCGCCTTTTGTGGACCTCAGTATCCTTTCAACACTGTATTACAGTGAATCTTCTTGCATGTGGAACTTGTTAAACAGTTTGAGTTTGTTAATCATGGAATTATCATTTGTTTTTTAAAAGAAGCAGCGACACCAACTCTATTTAACGAATCTTTGCTGAATAAAAGTATTAATATCTTTCAAAATAATATTACCGACCAGATCAGTACTAAGCATTTGTAGTATATTCAGTGTTTGGTTCTTAACCGTTCACTCTCTCAGACGTTCACAGCAGTAAAGGAGTGAAGATGCAGAAGCGAGGTGGCGGCGGAGGCTTCGGCTACCAGAAATCCAAGAACGTCCACAAGGCCAGGATCTTCAAACACGTCAACAAAGGGAAGGGAGATGGCAGGCAGTTCTCACGTTGAGATTACTCTGAGAAATAATCTGATCAGTCTGCATTCCATGTCTGTACAGAAATCTGCTTTCAGAAGACATTATATTGTTAGAACCTTAAACCACCCAACCTTAAACGTTGAAAATTTAGTGAATATCTGCTCTTTTCATGTGAGATTTAACCAGCAACCTTAGTAGAAACGAGGGCTGGTTAAAGGGTTCAGCCTATTGATTTTCATTAATGTATTTACTCTTAAATGGCTTGACAAGTGATGTTAAAATGCAACTGAATATTGATTAAAATGTTGATATTTAATGAATTTTCCAAACCATTTATCATGGATTTGTACAAAGCTGACCAACAGCACAGACTTTAATATTATTTACTGGTCAAATTAAAACCAGCACATTCACAATATTTTCATTAGGTTGCTTGATTTTTTTTTTCTTCAGTATTTTGTTAAATATTTTGTAAATGTTCTACATATTGCCCATTTCCCCAGCCCTAGTCACCGTAAGGGCTGCAATCGTTTAGTCGGAGGCAACTGCCCACTCAATCTTTAAATTGTGCACAAGAACTGCAAGTCTCAGCAAGTAGTTAATTCTCCTTTAATGTGTTTTTTTGTCTTATGGCAGCAGATTTTTATAAACACTATACAAAAAGAAAGGTGATTAGCAAGATAATTTGTGTTATATACATTATGGGTTTAAAGAAAAAGGCACAAAACACTTCCAGTTTAGCAGTAAATGAGTTAAATGTATAGAAGAATCTAGGCCAACACACATTCTGAACTGCAGAGTGTTCCAGATGTGATATCAGCATGAGGGAATGTGTGTGTGTTTTGAAGTGCTATTAGGATGTGTATTGAAGGGGTGTGTGTGCTTGTCCAGCTGTTACGATGCTCCCTTTGCCCTCAGTTTAGACAACAGCATCTCATTCTTGCGGCACTCCTGAAACAGACAAGGTTGTGCGTTTTATGAATCCGTTTCCTCAATCCAGAATATCAATAGATTAATGTCTACACCGTATATGGGAGATATGGGGGGGGGGGGACTAATATTTTATTTAAAATATATATATATTTTGTGAGTATTCACCTCTTTAAAGTCTTTGACGGTTTTAAAGTAGAGTCTCTGTTTATCCAGCAGCTCCAGATATTCATCATTCAGCTGATCTCTACGCATCTTGTTCTCCTGTCTTTTCTTTTCCATCTTTAAGTGTTAGAAAAACCACAAATAGAGTGGAATCAAACCAATTTATATGCCAAATAGAAATAAATGAGCAACAGATGCAGGTTTTGTACCTTTATGCGGCTCTGTTTGATTCCTTCCACAATTTGCTCCATCTGTCTCAGAAACTGTTCTTTACTTCCTGATGAAGCCATGGCCCTAAAAACATACATACATACACTTTACCCACATGTACCTGTGCCTTCAGGAAAGACACAAAATTAATTGTTAAGGCTTTTGCCGTAATAATGAGAAATTCCTAATGAGCTTTATTTGATACTCACTGCTGGAAATGATCATGTATGGAGTTCAGCAGATTAACCTGTAAAAGAAAAGACAGTCTCTTGCACTGCACATCCTTTTAAACACTTCTGATTCCATTCATAAATACAAGAAAACGCATTCCCAATAGCACAGCAAAACAAAGCAGATACCTCCTTCTCTAGATAAACCTTCTTGTCATCCAGGGTGTTGTAGAGCGTGAAGAACTGTTTTGTCTCTTTGTGTGTTGCAGAAACTGAAAAATACCAAATGAGTGGTTAATAAAGCTGTAAGCCAAATTACAACGGATTTAACTCCGGCCCATCCAATCAGATATATCAATTGTAGAGTCAACATCTTTAAGTTACAATATAATGGAAATAGCGAGATCTTTTCTTTAGTATTGTGACTTACATCCAAGTAAAATGGATTAGTTAGAAAAAGTGAGGAAATTTTTATTGTCATGCTGAGTGTGACTTTAAAATACAAACACCTTGGCTGTAGAGCTCAATGAAGCGTTTCTGATACTGGGTCAGCTCGGCTCTATTGGGAACCTCGTCAATCTTTCGCTGCAGGATGGCGATCTCGCGATTCCTCTTTGCCTGCAGGGGGCAGTAGAGAAAAAATTGAGTGTGAAGAAATTTCTTGCAATCTCTTGCAATTTTCTGAGAAAAAAAAACATCAGTTCAACTTGACCTACCATGAGCAGACGAATCTTCTGTAGTTTCTCTCGGTCTGTAGTGTACTGCTGATCAATCAACATATTCATCTCCTACAAACACATACAGAGGGATGAGTCCGAGAAACGAAACTCGACTGACACAGGCTGACTCCGTTCCAAAACTTTGACACACCCACTAAGAGAATTGTTTCAAAAAGTTAGGCAGACTTCAGGACTCCATAAAAGACTTGAATCTGCCATAAAACTCAATTAGAAGAATATACCTTCTTTTGGCCAAATACTAAGGTAGCAATCCCCAAATTATTGAAAGAGGCAAGATAAAACAAAATATCCAAGATGGTGGACAAAGCGAGGTATTGATTAAAAAAGAAGCTATATCCAACGTAACTTGGGTTTTTAACCAATATTTGTGAGACTGTCACCGGCACCTTCTTATCATCTCCTTCATCTCCAGATTCCAACTTCAACTCTTCAATATTCTGCTGCAGACGGGTCATTTCCTCCTATACACACACATTACCGTTAATGATAGTCATGTCTTCAACATTACTCACTAAAACAGAAACATGTTGTTATTGTAACGTACGCGGCAATGTGAGCGGAACATTTGCTCTTGATGTTTCAGGTTTTCATTCATCGCCACCAAAGCACGAAGTTTCTCCAGCAAGCTAAAAGATAAAAGCAAACCTAATAGTTAAAACCACAGACACTGAAACTTTATAAGAATCATGCTTTTTGGCTTTCAGCTTTTAGCAAATGGAAAGCGTTAATGTGAAAAAATTTTGTTTCCAAACTCAAAAAAGAATTGATTTCAATACACTTTGGTGTTAGCGTGATGCTAAGCTATATATCTGAACTATATATCCCACATTTAACATTGTTCGGCGAATTTCGCATAATGGCGAGAGATTTCCCCACACAAATTTCACATCAAATTCAGATTGTCGTGTGAAATTACCATGTCGACCAACAGAAAGCAGCTTAGTTTAAAAGTGGCTTCTCCCAGAAAGCAATTTTGCATTTAAAAGACATCTAATAGCCGTCCAAACACTGTCCTGACGTCTAGGCTAAAACAAGGCAAATTTGATCTGTCAGTGAAAATTTAAAAGACCCCTTTAGCACCGACGTCACAGTTACGTCACGGCGCTAGCTGGAGGCAAAACAAAGTGAAAACTGGAGGCGGCCAATACAAACCAGCACAGATTCGGCTACATAATTAGGAGCTTAAATTATTGTTACTATTATTAAATGTCATCTTGTTGTGTTGTTTGGTGCAAGAATTGATAAAAAATGAATATGCGGTATCTGGAACTTTTATTTCTAGAAAATATTCACATCATTAAAAACGCACCATAATGTCACTCTTTGCATTGTCGTTGTCTCGGCGCTGGCTCGGCAGAACTGCGGATCGTACACACAAGTCTTCTACAGGACCATATAGGCATCTAAAGATTTATATGCCCTCAGTTTCTCTTCATGATCGGTTTCTCTATAAGGTAGGTGTAGAAGTCAGGCCACTCACCCAAGTTAACGTAACATTAATCCTGTCAGATCATCCATGCATTGAGTGAGTGTGTAGGCGGCTACGGGTCGGCCAATCTGGTTCTGTCTGTTAAAAATAACTTTTGGAAATAACAATCGCGGTCCTGGACACAGAGTGACCTTACACATTAAGATAATATCGGATTTTCTTCAGTCATTGTTAAAAAACAAGCTAACAATACTTGCTAAGTAGCGTTCTGCCTCCACCTAAGCTCCGCCCACAAAAAACGTCACCATGTTTACCAACTGAAAAGGGGTCTATAGCCCAAGGATAGATGCACAGACTACGCATAGAACATGTCAAAGAAATGAAACCAAACACCTTGTAATCACTGTTGACTTTAAAGTTATTTGGCAAAACGACATGTAACCAAATTATAGGTTATTTTGGCTAGAAGTGTGTTACTCATAGCTTGGACTATAACGGGTCTATAGATAACCAACGTTGAAATCACGACTATTGCTAGCTGGGCTTGTCTACTTACCCAGAATCTGTCTGAGACTCCACATCCTCTAGTGAGCTCAGCTCCCTCTCTAGCTTTTCAGTGTGTGCTGTGGCCTAAAAAACACATACATTGTGGTTTGCTATTTTCCAAATTTTGATTTCATGGTTAGCTTAATGGTACATGTAAACCTGTTATCGGTCAGTAAATATCCATCTACCTGTCTTACCTCGGCTAGTTGGATTTTAGCATCCTCACACGCCACTCTGGCCTCCTGCTGTTTGGATTGCAGCTGGAATAAACCAAGAAACAATGAAGAAATAAACAAACAGGAGAGGCAATAACTGTGATATCCGCAATGTGAGGTATGCGCATTACCTCGACCAGCTCTTTTGTTTTTTGAGTGATTTGTTTGTTGAGTGACGTCAGCTGACGCCGGTGTTGTTGCGCAGGCCCAAATCTCTCTGGCCGATCCTCCACAGAACGCTCCGCCTGTTCAATCACACGTATGTATATGTATATTAATAGGAATTTACTAGGCAATACAATCCAGAGCAAAGATCATGTAGTGCATTCCAGCATCAACCCATAAGTGTAAAAAGAAAGGGACTATTTCTTAGGTATTCAGTGTAGTTTTCACTAGGGATGCACCGATATGAAAATTTTGGCCGATACCAATAACCGATAATTCTTTATATTTGAAAGTCGATAACCGATATATCGGCCGATATTTAATTTTGAGATTCTGATTAGAAAAACAAAAGACTCACAATTAAACCCATGTCCCAAGCGCACGATTATAATGATGTTCTCATTATAGTGTTATGTAGCCGATATAACAGATTTGCGAACCGTATTTTCATTTTTTGAAGAGATTTCAATCACATTTCAAAAATTTAAAACATAAACAGTGCTCAACAAGTGTCTCAGCTGAAGGGAACAATACATTATTTATCGGCTTTAATATATCGGCCACATTTTCTTACCAGGCCGTTAACGATAACATTCAAAATGAACATACAGTATTTCGGCCGATACCGATATCCTGGCCGATATATCGTGCATCCCTAGTTTTCACTATGCTCACCTTTTCGGCATACTCAGTGACAATTTGTTTAATCTCCTCAGACTGCAGACCAACAATCTGGCCAACTGTGCTGGCGGACAACTTCCCCTACAAAACACATACAGAAATAGTGTGTAAAATGATTAGACTGTTGACCATTTATATATATATGCTTGGTAAAATGGCATCGGCTAAAGACATACGTGATGAGTAAATAATCAACTTTTAAAGCAAATGTTCACCCAAAGATAACATGTCATTCTGACCACATTTACTTTTTGGACAAACTCCACCTTTAAAAGGGCTAATTTCTTTCATCATTTACTCATCCTCAGGTTGTTTTATGACTGTAAAACTCAAAATATTATGTCATGTTCCACAGATAAACTCTTTAGCATGCTATGCGTTTAGAAGTTTACCTCCTCGGTTGCCATGGCAGCCATTCCAGTCATCAGGGCCTTGATTCTGAGCTGTAAAAGAATCAAACAGAGCTTCTGATTGGTTGATGGAAAACTAATGATTAGGAACAAGTGAGATTTGATTGAAGGACAAGTGTAGGTTCATAAGATCCTTACTGACCTCCTCTGCTGCCTGCAGGTCCTCTTCTTCAGACATTTGGGCCATTCCAGGCGGCACACCCTGCGTGCCCTGAGCCAACACTTGCTTCTGCTCCACTGCCTGCGTGAAACATCATCATCACATGGTCTAACTAACAACAAATCAAAATCAACAAAGATCAGTTCCAAGCCCTCCTCTCAATCTGTGGTCTATTATACCCAGATGGACACCACAGGGGCGGTTCTACGGTCAGTGAGTGCATACAAAAATCTTCATCAACAGACATTTTCTGCTAATTTTGTCGCCTGTAGAACCGAAAGCTGAAAACATTTATCAGTTTAAATGAAATTCCACAGGGTTTGGATGATTGAACAACAATATACACCAGACATCAAGTCAATTGTCAAATGTTTTGCACGCATTGTGATTTTGTTTTATGACAAAATTTACCAGAAGTTATCCCACACCTCTTGATCAGTGTATTACTAATATATATCCATGATTTTTAACTGGTTTATTATTACTGT